CCCCAAAACCCCAAAACCCCAAAACCCCAAAACCCCACCCCAAAACCCCAAAACCCCAAAACCCCGTTTTCAAAATAATTATAATTAAAATAATTTTAAAGTAATTATGGACGAAGAAGTTACCGCAGTCGTCATTGACAATGGCTCAGGAATGTCAAAGGCAGGATTCGCAGGAGATGATGCTCCAAGAGCAGTCTTCCCAACTATTGTTGGAAGACCCAAAATGCCAGGAATGATGGTAGGCCTTGACCAGAAAGAGGTCTATGTCGGGGAAGAAGCCCAAACCAAGAGAGGTGTGCTCAAGACTGAATATCCTATTGAAGCTGGGTTTGTCAAAGACTGGGATGATATGGAAAAAGTCTGGAATCATACTATTTATAACGAACTCAGAGTTTCTCCAGAAGAGCATCCTTGATTATTGACTGAAGCCCCTCTAAATCCAAAGAAGAATAAAGAAACAATGACTCAGATTATGTTCGAAGTATTTAATGTTCCTTGTCTCTATGTACAACAACAATCAGTCTTAGCCTTGTACTCTTCTGGAAGAACGACTGGTCTTGTTCTTGATTCTGGAGAAGGTGTCTCAAATACCGTTCCAATCTATGAAGGATACTCAATCCCACATGCTATCGAGAGAATTAATTTAGCGGGTAGCCATATCACAAAGTACTTGCAAGGACTTTTAAAAGACAAGGGCAAGAACTTCTCTACTGATGCTGGTCTAGAAACCGTCAGAGATATTAAAGAAAGACTTTGCTACGTTGTTCATCAAAACTTTGACTCAGTACTAAAGGAATCAGCCGAAAATAACTCAGTTGAAAAAACTTATGACCTTCCTGATAACAGCAGTATAACTATTGGAAATGAGAGATTCAGATGCCCAGAAATCCTCTTCCAACCAAGCCATGCTGGCTATGAGATGTTTGGAATTCATAAATATGCATATGACTCTATAATGAAATGTGACATTGACATCAGAAAAGACCTCTTCAGTAATATTATTCTCGCAGGAGGAACTACTCTCTTCGAGGGCATTGGAGAAAGAATGTGGTATGAGATCCATCAACTCGCATCCTCTAGCAAGATTAAAGTCTTGACTCCGCCTGAAAGAAACTACTGTGTCTGGCTTGGTGGTTCTATTCTTGCTGCTCTATCTACTTTCCAGACAATGTGGATCAACAAATCAGAATATGATGACTCAGGTCCAGGAATCATTCACAGAAAGTGCTTCTAACTAATAGCAGACTAATTATTTGCCTGAGAGTATTTTCAAATTTAATTTGATTATTTGGGGTTTTGGGGTTTTGGGGTTTTGGGGTTTTGGGGTTTTGGGGTTTTGGGG